TTGCAGTTATGTCTTCCTATTGAAAGTGCAATGTTTCAAATCAGTCCATATATTCCATTCTCCCATTCTTTATTTAACTGCAAAATGTACCGAGTAAATCGTCAATCTTAATTATTATGGTATACATTCGGATATTCATGACAACAAACATGCATCTGTACTCTCTTTGATTTTAAAATTCCACTCGAAAAATGGATTAATTACCGAATCATTCAAGTTGGAGTGACTTTTCGTTAATATTCAGTGAATTCTTCCACTCGATGTCATGGAGTGAATATTTTCACTTCTAATTAAAGAACTGAAAACAATGTAATGCACCAAGCAAGAAGAAGTTCGATAAACGAGTCACACTAATTGTCGTCGTGTCGATGATATATATTGTTGAGTCGATATTACATAGAAATGTCGACATCTTCTTAGAGATAAAATGCTAATAAGAATCTACTTATACCGAGTTTAAATATTTTTTTTAGATTAAAACCTGATTTTACACTAAAGTCATTTTGACTGATGTTTCATTCCAAACGAATGAAATATTAACTATGATTGATCACTCCATCTCGAGTGGCAGTATTTTCACTATCGATTGGAGTGAATTTTCACTCATTTTAAGTGAGATTTTACTCTGAAAAATTTGGAGAGTGCACATACACAATAATAATACACATTGGTAAACTTATGACGGAGACAAATGGTATTTTCGAAAACGCTTCAGGTGTTTGTGACTACGTATAATCGCTTAAGCGGCATCGGATTAGCGTAGCATATCGGTACTTCAAGGGCAAATCCTGCTTAAACTTCGCTCGTATAGTATATCGCGCCCACCTCATGAAAATTTCATAAAAATTTGCATGAATGGGACGTACCTGCGAAAACCGTGCATTATTTGTCTTTGTCAAGCCGTTCTACAGCGACTTCGGGAGTACTCGTTTGTGCGGCCCACGCGCAAATGCATTTCCCTCTGAGAGACAGCCGGTCCATTGCAGTGATATCTTAAGTACCGTCGACAATTCTTTTCATCCCGACCATATCTGTCTCTGCTCTTACGCCCGTTTCCTTTCCGTAAGTATCGTTGGAAACCTCTCGAATAAAAAATTCAGTGAAAAAAAATGCGAGAAAAAGTTAATGAAAATTACACAAAGCAGATTTTCACGTTTCTTACATTCTGTATATTAAGAAAAAAATTGCGATATTTGTGTTAATTATGTACATTTTCGAAGCAGCAATTGAAAAATGAATTATGCAATCTTAAACTAACAATGTGTAATAATGCGCTTGGGTAATCACACAATTGACTATAATTTTTCATGTTATATAATCCTTTTTGCTGTTTTTATTAATTTGAGTATCATTTCTCATTTAGTTCTATATATTTCATATAATTTAAATAGGTAATATATAAAAAGACCGGTTCTCAGTACGTGATTTGTAAGCTTCTGCAATAAAAAATTAAATTAAACGTTAATTTTGATAATGTTATAATAAATAATTATTTATCTTTATTAACTCATAATTGGAACATAAGAATCCTAGTGACCCTGGGACTTCTCCTAATTTTTAAATAGTAACGATTTGGAATAATTTTATATTTTACAATCTTATTTTTTACTTAATTTCGAACTTGAAAAGTTCTTTAAAAAATATAAAACTATTAACAAAACTTTTGTCAATCCTAACGGTCCTTTAGCATCAAAAGATGTGTTCCTCTGTTACGAGTTAAATTTGTATATAATTCACAGAAATTTTGGCAAATATTTACGAAAACGTTTATCTTAGATAAGATTAAAATACCGTATGAAACATACACATGTAAAATTCAAGATGCACGATGCAATATTAAATTTGAGAGTACACGACAACGCGAAAAGAAATCACAACGCAAGAATGAAGGAAGAGCGAGTAAAACTCAGAGTTTGTCGCCGGACATCGGAGTGCAGCCGACAGCGTACGAGGATTTGATTGGATAGGTCGCTCGATTGCATATTGCATTCGACGAATATCGAAACCCCTTGTGCTCAATTAAATTCACGACAGCGCGGCCGATGGAATATCGAATTCGTAGAGGTAAATCGTTGGACGGTAAAAAAGGAATTGCGTTCGCGAAATCATTTCGCTACAAAAAAAGTATGGATGAAGAAGTAGAAGAAGAGGAAAAATATTGACACTATGCAGAGTGTGTCGATAATTTCGGCTTTTCTCTGCAGTGTCCCCATTATGTCGCACATCTTTTGAACTATTCGTAAATGGTAGTTCTTTGTCAGCACCCGTTATAACAAATACTATATTTTGCCCGTCGTTCCATCAGCATTTTTCAATAAACGAACAAAAATAACATTATACATATTGATTAGAATGCAGTATTAAATTCATATTGATATATCGATATTATCAATTATACATATTACTTTTATCGGAATCATAATAAAGTTATATACGCTCGTATAGGACATTCCTCGGAAAAGTTTATTCTATTCAGAAATCTTTCTACCCCATATACGTTCCATTGAATTCTAAAGTTTCCGTGACTATGTAACAAAGTTTCTCTTGCAGAAATTCAATGTACGCTCGTAAACTAAAGAAAATGTTTTAATTGTAAAAAAGGTAAATCTCTTTTTCAAGATATTAAATCGAATGATATCATTTTTCTCGCTGAATAAAAACGGAGTTGAATTAAATGTTTCTCAATATTATCTAATAATTGCGCTCACAGATATACGAGTAATTCGCACTTTCATTAAATTCGATCATAATACAAATATATGTAAAACTTTTATTGTATCTATTTTCCTCAAAACACTATCCCTAAATAAATGTGAAGCTTAATATTGCATAAATGACAATAAACAATATAAATGATACACGAACATTAAATTGTTCTATAATAAATTGATAACAATGCATAAATAATGTTATATTTTCATATAATACAATACGTTTCAATTTGGTATTGCTCGAAATATACTTTGTGTAATTTATCGAAACATGCATTATAGTTCAACGTTAATGTAATGCACAAATATATAAATCATTATTTGTTGATATTCGTCGACTTCTGTATAATATCGACCAACCGCGTCATAGAAATTTGGAAGTGCGGGAATTATTTGATGTGTGCGAAATGCCAGACTTTTACTGCGAACAAAGAGAAATTAAATTATCGCCCAATTCTGTGCAAAACGAATCGCTAGAACAAGTATTACTCGGGTTGAAAAATCCATCCGCGCGTCGCGACTATAAAAAAGCCGCGTCAAAGCTTTGAAACAGAAAACCGATAGGAACAACGTGAAACTATCCTATGTTGATCCCGTTCGATTTTACGTACTTCCCCAACTTTCATCGCCATTTTCTCTATATCGTTTATTTCTCGTCGAATCTCACCCGGATTTTCCAGTGTTGTATTCTCTTATCTAACAATTCGTGACATACATCAGAATATGTTATTTTGAGTTCCTTCAAATGTTCCGTTATGTTTCATAATAATGTTATCTTCTTTTTTATGTTAAAAATATTTTTTTATTTTTCACACGACAGATTCATCAAAATAGATTTCGCATGTATTTAGAATCGTTATTTTTATCAAGAAGAGAGAGAGAGAGATAACAAATTTAATTCTAACACTTAAAACATAACTATTTCAATTGTTTTTTATTTATTTTTTAATTACTATCTAACTTTTAATCGCGATTTTATTTATGCGATTTAATTATGTTACGATTTTTATATTATTCTTATAATCATTGACTAAACAGGGTGTATCTGAAATATCGCCCACTACAGTGCTATTCCTAATATAAAATTGAGACGAAAAGTCCTGTACCATTTTACAATTTTCGCAATAGTTAACGAGATATTTATTTCTAAACATTACCGAATAAGCAGATAAAATTTATATATAAGACAATTTTAAGATACCTTTCAATGTTCTTTGTGAAATGTTTCGAAGATGTTTCTTAAAGAACACTTAGAGATATCTTAAAGTTGTCTTACACGTCGATTTTAGACATTTTGCTCATTGGGTAACTAAAAAAAGATATTGCGAAAATTGCAAAATGGTAGAGGACTTTTCGACTCAGTTTTTTATTAAGAATAGCACTATGTGATTAGTGGGCGTTATTTCAGATACACCCTATATATAGAAATTATGCTAATTCGTTAAAAAGTCAAAATCGACGGGATCGGATTAGTGTCGACAATCATAAAACCGTGTTGTGAAAACACATGCGATTTAGAGCGTGTTGTTGATGTAGTCCCATGTATGTCCGATCCTGAACGATTCACTACGGTTCAATGCAACTCAAGCTCGTAACAGAAGCAGGGCATCGTGACGTCAATGCATGCTTCCCTAAACCTTTGTCATCGCATTATAGATGATCAACGATAATTTTGTTGCACTGTTGTTGAGGAAGTAAAATCTACGTGACTGTGATTTTTGATGTGTCTTTTTATAACCATCTGCACCGTTTGCATAAAATATCGCAAAATTTATGCTGGTTTTTTGCAAAGAAAAGTATTAATTTTTAATAAATTTTTATAAGCTGTTATAATTAAAATTATTAAGCAAGATGCATTTTAAATAATTATGTTAATTTTTAATAATAAGAAACAATGTATTATTATATTCAGAGAATTTTTTCAATATTAACTGCACTTCTAAAAAAACCTAGTACCACGCGCGCGCGCGCGCGCGGTTTACCCTAGAAATTATGCGAAAGTATTGCATAATTTCTCCCCTATTTTTCTATTTCTGGTCGCAATCTATAAAAAACAACCTATCACCGATATCACGATGTATGACCATTTTAGCACAAAAGCATTCTCTCTTTCTCGTTGCTCTGTGCCTGCATTCCATCACATACGAATAAAATTTGTTTTCCTATTCGAGAAAGAAAACGACATAATGGACGCCACAGAAAAACGTTGATTTCCAATTAAAGAATTTCATAAACGATAAGTTTCTCCCTACTGGTCACAGATATTGTTCAAGGTGAATCGCGATTTACCCGCCAAGAGATCGAATCTGGTTCTGCTCCTCTCGCTGTCCTCGTAGCCCTCGAGGTCGTCCTCGTAATCTTCGTAATCCTCAAGGACAGGACGGTGGTCCCCATCATTGCCGCTGACATTTCGAGAAACAAGATTGTTGCTGGGTGGACCTCTCTGAGTGGCCTGTCGGATGTGGGTCCGATGATTGTTACTGAAGAGGACCGACGGAGGTGGCGGCGTTGACAGCTGAGAGCCTTGAAGACGACGCTGAAGGTAACGGGCCAAAAGTGCTTGTACCGCGTCTGTCTCCGCAGTGCCTGGAAGACAGAAAGAGAGACTCGCTCTCGTGATCAGTCGACAACATCTTCCCGATTTTACGATATCCCGCTGAGTCCTTACATCCGCATTCTTACATTTCATTCTTTTCCTCTCGTCTCATCTCGATTTTTCGCCATCCATTTTTCTTTTCTTTTATTCTTTTTTTTCTTATTATCAGTTTTCTCTCAGTTTTCTGTGACGTAACAGTGCTCGCATTTCTCTTTCGCGAGATTGGAGACAAAAGAATTCGAGGCTCAATTCGAGGTCGTTGCCTGTCGAGGGGTCCTTCTTCTTGTATCATGTACGAAATGCATCGCGTGTGCATTCTCGCGCAAGCGTAAAGATATGTGCGATTCACGTTCTGATGAGACGGGTTCGGCGATGAGTATAATCCCTCCTGCACGCTGGTGGATCAATAGAGAGACGCAAAAGGCACGGTAATTCACCATCCAGCGATCAAATGCAAGAAAAAATATCAATAGAGAGATGCGGACTCGTTAGTTCCAGAAAAATAATTATACGGGCAAAAAGACAGAAAAAGATATCCATCAGAAAGGTCAAAATAACATAGAAAAGCACAAGACTTTCTAATAAACTTTAAATTATTTTAAATGTCATCGCGAATAATATTAATAATAATCACGATGTGTCAAGAGTCCATTTTCAACAGATGAAGCAAATATCATCATAACTATTAAACTGTATGAAATATACGATCGCAATGATAGATGACGGTAATGATGTAGTAAATGATACAGTGATTAAAGATGTATGGGAGAAATGATTGAAGCTCCTTGCTTTCAACTCTAGTGTATGAACCAACGTAAACACAAGTGAGCGTGCTCATAATGCCGAAACAATATGCAGTAGAATACTCGAGTCCGCAGGATGCTTCATTAGGATCCCTGCCTCGCTTGCGTTTGATGTTCCAAGAGCTTTCACGAATCATTGTTTAGCCTCAATGTATGTACCATTTGTAGTTACATCAAGGAGATAGCACGAGATGAATGAAATTATAAATCATTCGACATTGCTTTGCGAATCGAAGATGTGACACTGATTAGTCAACATCATAATATCATCGATTGTTACGCACAAGGAAACGAGGAAATCGCTATACATAATTTAACTTCATTATTACATTTATTGCTACAGTTCCATTACTCAAACCATTACCACAAACTCATAAAACTAGCTCTTTAAAGAATATCTATCAAAATCTGTATCGGTTGTGTATCATTCGTTTATTAGAGTAAATTAATTGCTTAAATCATGCATGAATCGTATCATAAATGTAATTTCGATTTGAAGGTGTTTAAAATGTATTGGCGGTATAAAATGTAAATAGTAATCGGTATAAAATATTAATTGTTTACATTTTATACAGTCAAAAATGTTATAAGCATCTTTAATCGAAATCACACCTGTAGTATGATTAGAGTACAAGATTTTTTTACACAAGTTTATTTACCTTTTTTTAAACAAAATTTTTTTTTAGTTTAAAGCATACATATATAATACTTTTATTATGTTTCTATTAGTTACAAATATAAACTGATTACTATTATTATATGTATATATATATATATATATATAAATTCTGCTTGCTTTAATTTCGTTGAATTAAAATTATAAATAATTAATACGATTCTGCTGAATTTTATTTATGCGAACGTGTTGCTAACTAAATGTTGCAGAAGTTCAAAGAGGTAACGCAAAAACGGATAATTAAAGATGCGGTGAACTAAACGACGATGTCGTGAGAGCTGTTAGAGGATTTGCGGCAAGAAATCCAATTTTCGGTAAAGTCCAGCACGAAGGACGAGTGCAATTACATCGATTTCTACTAGTAAGCTTGTGCGCCAGCACGGCTGTCTCGTAATTGAATTGGATCAATTGTGTATCGCACGAATCCTATCATTTCTTCCCTCGATTCCTACCTTTTTACCTCGATTCTTTTTGCTGGACGAAAACGTCCGTCAAATTATTATTCTGAGCAGCAGCTTCATATAATTAAATCCTACAAGTAAACGTTGATCCCATTATGAAAAAGCATCTGACAAACTGGCGGAAAACGAGCACGCACACTCTGTTTTCTTGTTATATTTCGCGCAAACTGGAAAATGCACGCTCGAGTTGACCGCAAAGGATCAACCTTCCAGCACGGAGGTGATGCCCCGGCAAGGATTTTCAGAGTCACCTCCAGAAACCTTTTGCCTGGCGCGAATCTTGTTAGCCTTGCTTTCGCGCGCGGCCTAATTTGACAAACGTACATTAAAGTAATTGACAATTTACTTGTACCACGCAGTTTGTATTTATCTATTAAGTTCTCAATAATATTATTTTTAACTTAAGTGTTACACGTTTAATTCTAACTAATTGACAGAATATTTTGATTGATATGAATTCATGAAATATATCATATTCATTTTTATTTGTAAAAAAAGCACATGATTTTACGCAAAATACATAGTAACGTTAATTTAAATGGTATTGACGAATGTAAAGTGAATTAATAAAAATACTGATTGAACGCTAAAACGAACATTTAAAAAATATTTAACAAAACCACATGAGATAATAACATACTATCTAAATTTTTCATGTTCTCGCGGTTTGACGTGTGTGGAAAGTAAATACAACCAAAACTAATATTTGGCGGAGTTACAGCAATTAGAAAAATTCTCATGTTTCCGCAAGACAACACATAAAGTGTTACTCGATATCGGAAAAATAATAAAACGTCACATCCCGAAATATTCCACGACTGTTTCTATCTATTTTTTTGTGGGGAAAAAATCCAGAAGTAATCGCGCGAATAGTTGGAAAAACGTTCAGCCAAACGAACGTTTATTCTTTATGATACAAAAAAGTTCTTCAGCTTTTGCTTCATTTAGAACTTTATCGACTTCTTCAACTTTATCGAATAATTACACGTCTATGGTCTATTAAAAATTATTGCAACTTAAGAATTGTTTCTTTAACGACAACTTAACCGAAGAAATTGGAGCAAGTGAAACGTGAAATAATTTAAAGACACAGACTTTCATCAGGTTATATGAAACAGACATGAGAGGGAAGAAAATCTCGATTTTGCTTGTGAGAAAGAGCATGAAATAAATCGTGGAAAGTCATAGGTTACGCCATGCAACAGATTGAACGGATTTCTTCGCGGATTCAACGCGAGATTCGTCCTAAGAGGAATTTAGCGTTCTCGACCGAAAGATGCAAATCCGCGGAAAACCGCCGCCGATGTGAAAATTTCTTTAAATCGGAATCCGAGATATCTTCTTGGACAAGACAAATTCATGCCAAAGAAACCACGGAAGATTGGCATCAAAGAATTTGCAAAAATGCAGTCAAATGTTGCTCCTCCCTTTCGAGAAGAAATTTCTGTCGATCTGTGAACAAATGAAACATTTTCAAAAGAAGATTTCTTTCTTTCTTTTGGCAAAGAACAAAGATCGAAGTAATTTCGAGGAAGAATAAAGTAATATAAGACGGACAGAAAATCTGAAATATTTTCTTCAGAAACGGAAAATTATTTCGCTCGAATACTCACAATATTGCCAGAAGTGAAACATTCGGAAAGAAAAATTCGCTATATCTTTGCACATGAACAAAAGTGTAAAAAATTTGAAAGTGTTAAGGACATGGCACACAAAAAATTTAAGACGTAAGACTTAAGCAGTAAGCAAATCGACCAATCACAATAGAGACCGTAAGACCATAACGTAAGCAGTAGCGAATCCAATATGTTGATTTCCTTCCTACTTAAGACTTACGTCTTAAATTTTTGTATGTATCAAGACCTTTACAAACAGAAACATAGTACCGACTTTTCTATCAAAAGTTTGTAAACTTTAGATTATAAGATTCTGCATTAACTAAATAAAAATAATTACGTATCTCAATGAGTTGATAATTAAAATATCAATGTTTACTACTTGCATCATTCCTACTAAATTTATTTAGTGTTATTTTTGACAATTCTTTATTTTCAAAATACGTAGATGTCTGCAATTTTTTTTAGGCAAATCACTTTTCTTGGAGTACCTTAAAGTTATGAAAACTGCGGAAACTACGCATCCCAAATGACCAACGTGATTAAATTCAACCACACGATTCGACGGGGAAAAATCACAAAGTCCGAGTGAAACTTTTCTGAAATTGGACGGAGAATTGCTCGTGAGGACTTTTCAAGCCGGAATCCTAATTTGGACTGAAAATTAGAATTTCACTGTGTTGAATATTCTGCTTGGACGCGAGATCGATTCATTATCATTGTCTACTGACGTTTCGCGGTTGAAGAAATCATCTCGGTTGACTGGAGAAACGTAAGTGTCCTTTGAAGTGATTTAAGCTTTACTCGCGCGTTCTCGAGTGCACGAGAGAAGGTACGCATTAAAACGGAATGTCCCGCCTGAACTGATTTGCAAGTTTCGCGTCTCTCATCCGGCCCGCAGCCGGCGCGGAAACCAACCTTCTCCTGTAATCCATTGTCCCCACTTCATAATTCAATGACTTTCGGAACTACGTTTCCTGGACTATTTCCTCGACGGGTCTTCTGAATGTTTTATGCGATTTTAAGATTACCATGGTGGTGGCGGCTGGCGATAGCGCGCGATACGCTTTTACCGTAATTGGATCTAAATTCTGGAACGGACGAACGAAGTCTAATAATGACTTCATTTCTCGAACGCAGGCTATTATTATATTGGAGTCAATATTATCCTATTATAAAGCGTTATAAAGGCACTATCGACAGGAGCACCAACAATGATACAAAATAATTTATAACGTCATAACACACGATAATATATCCCCTGAAATGGTATTGTAACAATATGAAAAAATAACATTTATGATAAAGGTAGAAAAAGAATTGTTTATAAAAATATAATACAAGTACAAAAATTACGCGGGACCCAGTTAAATAAAATATTCAATATATCATGCATGATTATATTGATTCGTTTTTCGAGATGACACAATTCAT